TGTGTGTTCTGTGTGTGTGTGTGTGTGTGAATCTGGGCGTGTGTTGTGCCGTTGGACTTATCAGAGATGTTTCTTGCTGCTTTCCACAGATTAAAGCGGCGAGGTCACGAGCACTTCCTCCGTTTCCCACAATCCTTCGCTGCAGATCAGTTGAATGAAAGCGCACACTGTGAAGTTCTTCATCTCGCTTTGGATTACTGATCTTCTCTTGGGTTTGTCTGTGAGTAGACATTGCTTTCTCTCTCTCACACACACACACACACACACACACTCACACACACACTCTCACACACACACACACACACTCTCTCTCTCTCTCATAAACACACTCTCACACAAACACACACACACTCTCTCTCACACGCACACACACTCTTGCACTCACACACACACATGTGACGATTTCCGTCTTTCTAACTGATAGATTCAATGTATTTGATTGTTAAAATGACTAAATATTCAGGTTTTCGTCACCACCATCAGATAAAAATAAGAGAAAAAAGAGAAAAGTCGGGAGGTTGCATCAAAGCATAGCTCAGTAGCGTAGAACATATACTAAGATACATAAACGTAGTTTCATTTTTCTGAGTACAAGGTTTAGTTTTTTCAGTATTGCACCCTGTTTCTCAAGAATCTGAGCAGTGTGTGTGGTCTGATCGTGTGAGGTTTGCTCTGAACAGCTGTATTCATGTCAAATGTCTTTCAGTTAATGCTGTAATTACTGCTCCCGAGGGGAAAACCTTGAGGTGCACCTAAAACAGACGTCTGCAGGTGTGCCATTGAGATTTAATTCGTTTACAAGGGAAACAAATAGTATACAATGAAAGATTAAACACTGTTTTATGTCTACATGTTATGTCATGTATGTAATAATTAATGATATGCAGGAGTTTTATTTCTTAACTGTGCTTGTTAGTTAACATGGACTACAATGGAAAATATTTCTACAGCATTTATTAATCAATGCTAATTTCAACATCTTCTAATACAATGTGAACTAACATAAACAATGAACAGTTCTGTTTGTATGAACTAAGAACGGTTCATAAATGCTGTAAAATATTTTGACCATTGTTAGTTCAAACTAAAATGACTGTGAAACATATTTTATTGGATTGTGCTGTTTTTAATGTAAATAGACAACGGTTTCATTCAGAGGTGTGTCTAACTGATGCATCACCTGAATGTATTTTAGCATTTTCGTCTAGTGTACATCTGAAATGTCTTTTATAACCTTTTGTTAATTGTATACCTTGTATAATTTATTCAGAGGTTGCCATAAAAATAGCATTGATGCTGGCATGGCGTTAAAAAGTGAATAAATAAATAAATCATTGTTAGTTAATGCATTAACAAATGAGACTTCATTGTAAAATTTTATCATATAATATATTGTGCAGTGAAATGTATATCTAGATTCTGGACTGTGCATTAATTCATAAAGGATCAACAGAGGAATAGTAATGAAAGCACAAGTAAATCTGCAGCAGTGCAAATACTGTATGACTGTATACAGTAAAACCGAGACGGCAATAACAAGTATTAAGATGCACAGAGAATATGCAAAAGTAGAGTTGTTAGTGGACTAAATGGGTGCACGCTGATTTATGGCATGTCTGGTTTGTTTGTGTAGAGTTTGCGTGCGGTCCAGTTAAGAGCCTGTAAGTGTGTTCTCCATCAGTCTCTGTGTTTTCTGTCTTTCAGACGCGCAGAGGCACTCGTGGAGCTCATGAAGACTGAACGGGATGGGGACGGTGTGCTGGAAGGTGAGACGCGATCGTGCGAGTCTCTAGGGCTTCTGTCCAAAATGCATCAGGAAAACCAGTGCTGCCTCAGTTCTTAAAGCTTAAGGAAATGCAGTTATTGAAGTTGTTTTAACACTAATTTGGACTTCAGTAATACTGCTGGCCAGACGGTAACTCACTAGACATTTAGAGAAGTTGACTAGTGAGTTTAGTATACTAGCAGTCGTGCATTTAAAAGTAGTTTCTTAATCAGAGGCATCTGTTGATTTGTTGAATGTCAAGAATCTTCCCGTGACTCTTTACTACAGATCAGCCCATATGGGCTTTTTGATGGCTGATATTTTAGAGAGCAGGTGGCCAGTGCTTGATATAAAGCAAAGCTATTTATTCAGCTTTCAGATGATGCATAAATCTCAATTTCAAAAAATTGATGCTTATGGCTGGTTTTGTGCTCCAGGGTCACATACATGTATGATATCATAACAGAAAAACCGATTGGCTGATGATTAAAAATTCAGAACGCTGGCTGACATGTTAGCCGAACACTACTGGTTATACAGGGCTTCTTGAACGCTAACTAGTAGTGTAATTAAATGAGTGTGTGTGAAAGTGCGTTTCGTAATTAGCTGTTGTAAGCCTCAGAGGAAGTGATCTCGGAGTTTACTGCCGTCGTTTCCTCGTGTTTTACTGTGCTCATGATGTCCTATCCGTGTTTATGATGTGTCATATTCTCTGATGAACTGACTGGCTCTGCTGGATCCTCACGAGCAGATCCTGGGCGCTCCTGGGTTTGATGATAATGTCAGTCATGGGTGTAAATGTTGGCTGTTGTTATATTACAGGAGTGTTCATCGGCTCGTGTGACTGAAGCGTGTTTCTCCATCACATCGCTCTGAACACTCCTGTGAATCTCTCCAGCTCGCGTGTCTGTCTGATGTGTGTTGTACCGCTGTGTTTCAGAGAGCAGCTCACAGGAGCCTGAGCTCTACAGCCCTGCGTCTCCCGGCCCGCAGCAGGAGCCCATCTCCACATACTTCGAGGAGAAGGTTCCCATCCCTGAGGATGACATGACTAAGGTACCTCAGACGGAACGACTGAACCATCATTCTGTTCAACAATACAATCCGCATTTGCTCCGTTTATGTTTTTGACTTCAGACTTCCCATCAAATACACAAGTAAACCAAACGAATGTTATTATAATAAGCCAAGAGCACATCAGTCCAGATGATTCCATGTTGAAGGAATACTTCACCCAAAAATAAAAGGAGCTATAAATGTGCTCACCCTCAGGCCATCAAGATCAGGATGAGTTTGTTTCTTCATCAGGTTTGGAGAAATGTGTCACTGCATCAGTGTCTCAGCAATGGATGCTCTGCAGTGAATGGGTGCCGTCAGAATGAGAGTCCGAACAGCTGATAAAAACATCACAATAATCCACAAGTAATCCACAGCACTCCAGTCCATCAGTTAACATCTGGAGAAGACAAAAACTGAAACTAATCCAGCATTAAGACACTTTTAACTAAGAGTCCATAATCCATAATTACGCTTCCTCCAGTGAAAAAGTGCATCTGCTGTCTCTCACATCAAAATCCAGCCACATATTTGTTTAGAGCTGTTTAAACACTGCTTGATCTGTGCAGATTTCTCTCCTGATTCACACCAGAACACTTTTTCACTGGAGGAAGCCTTATTATGGATTATGAAGTCAATGTATTTTAGTTTATAAACGTCTTAATGCTGGATTAGTTTCATCTTCTGTCTTCTCCAGATGTTAACTGATGGACTGGAGTGCTGTGGATTATCATGATGTTTTTATCAGCTGTTTGGACTCTCAGGCCCTGTTTACACTAGTGCGTTATAGTTTTAAAGCGCGTACATTTTGCTACGGTTACGCCTGTCGTTTACACAAAACTCCACTTTTGAAAACGCTGCAGACCCCGTTTTAGATTGAAAAGGGGTTGCGTTTCAGTGTAAACGGAGCGAAACGGAGCCCACATTCGTTCTGCGTATCCTTGACGACCGCGTAAACAATAACATCATGCTCGTTGTACCCATAGATATGTATAGGTACAGTAGATTCCCCATTCGACCGCTCCAAGCACGCATCTAAATAATAGGGCATCTACCTCTACATATCTATGGTGATTCCTGCATGAATGGTCATGTGACGTGCATTTTCGGTTGTGTAGTGTAGATCGTTTCTGAAACGCAGTGAAAGCGCCAGTGTAGTCGTTTTCAAAACGCACTAGTGTAAACGGCCTCATTCTGACGGCACCCATTCACTGCAGAGCATCCATTGCTGAGACAGTGATGCAGTGACACATTCCAACAAACCCGATGAAGAAACAAACTCAGACAAGTTGAGACGAGTCCCTGATTTAATTATCAGACACATTCTGCAGGCATATCTTGCCATATTAAATGACCTTTCACCATCATAATCCAGAAATGTGACAGGTAACAAATGTGATGGGCAGGTTATGGCACTGCAGTTTTATGAGCGTGACCACCGTTATCAGGTGTGTGTGTGTGTGTGTGTGTGTGTGCGCGCGCGTGTGTGTGAGAGAGAGAAAGCTGATGGGTAAGAAAAGTGTTTTATCAGATTGTGATGTTTATAATCATTAACTCATGAATCCAAACAACAAGACGGACCTTGATTTCCTCAAACAAGAGGAAGAGAAACAAGCGGAAAAATAAACAAATGCAAAGTGTTACGAAAACAGCACTGGCATCCCGCTCTGTGGACACTCGTCATGTGACCTTCAGAGGACAAAACTCAAACCGCTGTCTTTATTACCTGTGACCTCAAGGCTGCTGGGGGACCATCAGTGTTGTCACGAACACATTCTCCAGCTCAAAGCCGTTCTGGGTCTCAGATCTCAGACCCAGCTGCTGTCGAGAGGAATGTGATGAACTCTTTGGTTAACATGTGTTACTCTTCCTCTCTCTAGCTGTTTAGCTTTCGTAAACTCTGGGCCTTTACTGGGCCGGGCTTCCTGATGAGCATCGCCTATCTGGACCCTGGGAACATAGAGTCGGATCTTCAGTCTGGGGCTAGAGCGGGCTTCAAGGTGAGGCATGTCCAGCATCTGTACTCAGCTGGACAACTCTGTGGTCAGTCCTAATGTTGCTGATCACATTCACACAGTTTCTGTGTAGAGATGCAGTCATCACCGGATGGAAATCGTAAAGAATCGGATGATTCTGCCGCAAGTTCTGATTCCCTTTAATGAATCTGCTCCTGAATGACTCCATTAACGATGCTTTTGGCACTTTATATTGCGAAATATTAAAAAGGCAGTCTGTTGCCAAATTATGAGAGTCCCCTTCTTCCTCTATCAACATGAAGGTCACGGGTTCAATTCAGGAAAATGTCAAACTTATAAGTTTTGTAAATATTAATCATTTCAACTGAACAGACATAAATCAGATATGCATATACACTATATTGCCAAAAGTATTGGGACACCTCCTTCAAGTCTTGTGGGTTTGGACTGACATCAGACCACAGAATGTTCATTTTTGGCTGAACTAACCCTTTAAGACCGTTCAGTATATTCACAGTGCTCAAAAAGATACATCGTATGGACAAAAGTATTGGGACACCTCCTTCTTTAGAACAGAAAAAGGCACTTCCAGGACTGTGGCAACAAAGATGGAAACATAATTAATGTATTTAAAACTGTATTTCCATCTCTGTTGCAACAGTTCTGGAAGTGTCTAAAATGACTGTAGCCATATGTACAAGTCACTGGTGTTTGCTGATGAGTTTTTGGCTCAAGTTCTTCCACACTGACTCAATCAAGCAGTTCTTTTTTTACCTTGCCTGATACACTGATACACAGATACACAGCCGTGTTAGAATAGAAAAGGGTCCTGTCCAAACTGTTGCTATAAAATTAGAAGCACACAATTCCCTAGAATATCATTATATGCTTAAACATTAAGATTTGTACTCATGGCAATTACTGTGTCTGTGTCTGTGCGCCTCTGTGTGCATGTGTGCATGTGTGTGCGTGTGTGTGTGTGTGCATGTGTTTGTCTGTGTGTGTGTGTGTGTGTGTGTGTGTGTGTGTGTGTGTGTGTGTGTGTGTGTCTGTGTGTGTGTGTGTGTGTGTCTGTCTCCTGCAGCTGCTGTGGGTCCTGCTGGGTGCCACCATCATCGGGCTGCTGCTGCAGCGTCTGGCCGCTCGTCTCGGTGTTGTGACCGGGATGCATCTGGCCGAGGTCTGCAACCGTCATTACCCTACGGTGAGCTCCGGAGAAATACTGCGCCTTCTGCTGTTTGGCCACTCGACAATTTAATAACCAGTTCAGCAAACTTTATTTATATAACACTAATAACTCTTCCATTCATTTTACACTCATTACTATTCAAAAGTTTGGAACAATCAAGATTTTTAAAATGTTTTCCTTTACTCTCTTCTGCTCACTGAGACTGCATTTATTTGATCAAAAATACAGTAAAATAGTGAAACGTTATTTCATTTTAAAGTATCTGTTTTCTCTGTGAATATCTGTTAAACTGTAATGTATTTCTGTGATGCGCAGCTGTATTTTCAGCATCATTACTCCAGTCTTCAGTGTCACATGATCTTCAGAAATCATTCTAATATGCTGATTTGCTGCTCAAGAAACATTTCTGATTATTATCAATGTAAAACAGTTCTGCTGCCCAATATTTTTGTGGAAACTGATACATTTTATTTTTCAGAATTCACAGATGAACAAAGTTCAAAAGAACAGCATTTATTTGAAATATAAATCTTTTGTCACATTATAAATGTCTGTACTGTCACTTTTGATCAAATTAATGCAGCCTCGATGAATAAAAGTATGATAAGAATGATTTCTGAAGATCATGTGACACTGAAGACTGGAGTAATGATGCTGAAAATACAGCTGCACATCACAGAAATAAATTACAGTTTAACAGATATTCACAGAGAACACATCTATTTTACATTGTAATAACGTTTCACTATTTTACTGTATTTTTGATGAAATAAATGCAGCCTTGGTGAGCAGAAGAGAGTAAATAATAAATTAAAAAAAACACTTAATTACTCCAACGTTTTGATTGATAGTGCACGAACACAAATGAATGCAACTGTAAAGAACAGTAATAAATAATCAGAACATTTTCAGAAATCTTATCTGGCATGATTAAAATGCAAAAATGTATTCAAATGTTTGAAAACAAATATTAAGTCTGAATAAGTGTTGTCTGATAAACACCAAAATTGATGCAAAAATCTGGAAGGCTGTTTGAAAACATGTAAATGCTCCTCGGTGAGCAGAAACAGAAAGCAGCGCAGTGTGTTTTGTTAGCAGGTATAATCGGAGTCTTTCTCTAAGCGTCATTTACTGTCAGAGAGTGAATTTATGCTTTCATTCAGCCGAACTCTCGTTCTGTGATGTTTAGGTGTTTACATCAGTGTGCGCCTCTTTTACACAGCACTCATGCAGTGTTGGTCAATCAAAAAAGTCATAAGATTTAAGATTTATCAGATCTTGAGATCATAGGATTTATTTATTAGTGTTGTAAAGTTCCCACAGCAGTTTTGTGCATGTTCCTTACCACAGTGCATCATTATCAAATACCAGCACGTCTTCTGTTTTGTGAAGGCTGAGAGGTTGGTGTGTGTTTGTAACTGTGTGTGGCGTGTCTGCAGGTGCCGCGGATCATCCTGTGGCTGATGGTGGAGCTGGCCATCATCGGCTCTGACATGCAGGAGGTCATCGGCTGTGCCATCGCCCTCAATCTGCTGTCGGTCGGCAGGTATGTCATCTTCATCATCATCTTCATCATCACGTGACTGACTCACTTCATGTGTGCTTCAGCTGTGAGGATGATTAGCAGCTGACAATTATTCAAGTTTTTTTAATGCTAATTTATGTGGCACCAGCTGGACTTTTTTTATTTTTATTTTTTTATTTTTTTCTCAAAGCAATGGTTCACCCAAAAATGTCAAATGTGCTGAACATTTACTCACCCGCAGGCCATCCGTGATGTAGATGAGTTTGTTTCTTCATCAGATTTGGAGAAATGTGTCACTGCATCAGTGTCTCAGCAATGGATGCTCTGCAGTGAATGGGTGCCGTCAGAATGAGAGTCCAAACAGCTGATACAATAATCCACAAGTAATCCACTCCATGCATGGCCAAAATCATCCATAATAATGCTTCCTCCAGTGAAAAGTCCATCTCCTGCAGCTTTTCACTTCACAAGATGTTAACTGATGGACTGGAGTGGTGTGGATTCCTTGTGATGTTTTTATCAGCTGTTTGGACTCTCATTCTGACGGCACCCATTCACTGCAGAGCATCAATTGATTGAGGATGTGTAGCCATGGAGCTCATTGATCTTGTTGATGCTCTTCTGCAGGATTCCTCTGTGGGCTGGAGTGTTGATAACCATCATTGACACTTTCGTCTTCCTGTTTTTGGACAAGTACGGTAGGTCTGCACTGATGGAGCGTGAGAATGATGGCACCGGCTCGTATCGTGCCGCTAATGCGAGTGTCTGGTCTGTCGTCTTCAGGTCTGAGGAAGCTGGAGGCGTTCTTTGGGTTCCTCATCACCATCATGGCCCTCAGCTTTGGTTACGAGGTTCAGTGCAGCTGCAGCATGTTGTCAGCAGGTGAGTGTGTAAGCGCTCGGCGTGTGACGTGTCTCTCTGCTCTGGTTGTCTGCAGTATGTGCGTGTGGCTCCAGACCAGGCCGAGGTGCTGAAGGGCATGTTTGTGCCGTACTGCAGCGGCTGTGGACCCACGCAGCTGGAGCAGGCCGTCGGGATCGTGGGAGCCGTCATAATGCCTCATAACATCTACCTGCATTCTGCTCTTGTGAAGGTCAGTGAAAGGCTCACATCACATGTATGTGTCCCTGGAGCACAAAAGCAGTCTTAAGTCGCTGGGGTATATTTGTAGCAATAGCCAACAATACATTGTATGGGTCAAAATTATAAATTTTTATTTTATGCCAAAAATCATTAGGATATTAAGTAAAGATCATGTTCCATGAAGATATTTTGTAAATTTCTTACTGTAAATATATCAAAACTTAATTTTTGATTAGTAATATGCATTGCTAAGAACTTCATCTGGAC